GTTATTTTTCTGTCTAGTGTTATTAATTGGCAATATATATTAAGTTTAAACAAGTAATTTCTTCCGCCTTGCACAAATTTCCATCTACTTGAACATCCAGTGAGTTCAAAATGCTGAATCTGTTTGGCTGAATTTGTGATGCTAATCTTTCAATGTCAAACACAAGATTATGATTTTATACAAAATGGATTGTAAGAGGCAAGGCTGTTATTCAAGCAAATTTCTATATTAAGAGCAAGGCAATGCACAATAAAAATAAATTGCTTCTCACATTTATGTTCTTTTCACAGTTGTGTGTTACCCCTCTTTAGGAGAGACCACTTTCATTTTAGTTTCAGCTATGTGAAAAAGTTTTCCTGACATTCACCTGAGCAGTCAGTATCAAAATAGTTTGATTCTCTTTCTTTAAAAAAACAGAATAGAAAATACAGGATCGAGAGTGGTAGGACACCAAATCAGTACTAACTAAAGTTTGTAGGTGATAGACTGGGAGAGTGGCAATTAACAGAAGACAGGCAACTGATGCAGAATAAATGGGATCACTTGGTAAGATGGATGCAAGCACAGAGTGTGCATTAATTCAGCCAAATGTAAAACAGTACCTCTTCGGACAAAGCATAAAGAGCTTACTCTGAGTTAGAGGATGGAGAAGTCTCCCAAGGGAAACAGTGATTTTGGACCAAAGGGCTAATGAGAACCTAAGAGGTATAATCAGGGGAATACTGAGCAGGAATAAGAAGCCTCTATTAGCTCTGTATTTGGCCCTGCTGTGCATGCTACAGGAACAATGCGTCTAGCTCTGGTGTTCATTATTCAAAAAGGGTATTGAAAATTTGGAGAACTGCTACAAAAATGATTTGAGGCTTGGAGATAAATGCCTTATAGCAAGAGACTCAGGGCTCTGTGCAACTTAAAAAAGAAAGGTGAGACAGTGACCTATATAGGCAACAGCAATTTGATAACGCTTCAATCTAGACACCAAAAACATAATAAGAGCTTAAGCTTGACAAATTCAGACAGAATAATATGACCTTTTTTTGTTTGTTTAACAGTCAGGATGATTAACCATTGAAACAACATGCTAAGGGCTGTGGTGGATTCTCCTTTACCAGAAACCTTTACAGTAAGTTGACATGTTTTGCTAATGATATGATCAGATAAAAAAAATGAAATAATTCAGGGAAGTCATGTTTTAAAGCAGAAGCTGAGTTAGGTGATCACAACGATGCCTAAATGATATGCTAAACTAAGTTTAGCCTATGATAGGCTAAACTTAAGATAAAGAGAGAAAAACTTTATCTACATGTTGAGCTGGTGAAACCTCATGTGGCACAGTCACACATCAGTTACTCCTACCGGTGATCATTTGTTTCTTCCCATTATTGAACTGGTAAGCACGACAAGCAAAAAGGTAGAAAAAGAACAGATAAGAGAGGAAGAGGTCCCCAGAAGTGAAACTGAGCAGACTGCCTTCAATCAATAAAATTTTGAGAAGGAAAGAAAAGTAAAGTAATGCCCACATGCTGCATGGGGATTCAGATTTTGAGACTAATGAGAAAATTTAGGCGATGTATTTTCTCAACTTCAGGAACAGTAGAATACATTTCTAACTTGTGATCATAATTTCAGAGGTCAAAGACTGAAAAGATACTTCAGCAAACACTTGTGCAGAAGATATGAAATGGAATCTTCAGGACCATTCTTTGTCCTCGGAGAATAACATTCTGTGATACTTGCAAACAAAGCCAAAACATTTGAAAGATAGATTAAACTAAACATAAATTTAAAAAGCTTGACTGATTTTCCTGTTTTTCATCTCCTATTTCTGATGATTTCTAAGATGCTTCCCACACACGGAATAATCAGCAATGTGTTGTAGGGAGATCTTAGAGAAGCTCTTTTAGATATGACATCCAGTGGTAGGAAAAGACTGGAGGCTCCATACTAAAATGTGTGGTCAGAGAAGTCCACAAAGGACAATGGGATGCAGCATGCTGTTTCCACGGTAAATAAATATCCATGGAAGAGTGCAATATGGCATGGTTATGAAATAATTTGGGAAATATTCACCGGCAGAGTGGCAAAGTGGGGCTCCCCGCCTAGCTACAGTGCTAGGTTCCCCACTTGCCTTTGGGCACACCTCACACCTGACTCACTTGCCACACCTTGTTCTTATTAATTAGGATGTTAATTAAGCAGGAGGCTGCCCATTTTATGCCCCAATGCCAGGGGGCGCTATCTGCGGCTCTGTACTTTCACTACACCGCAGCCCATGCCTTGCAGATGGTATCCAGATGTTCCAGTGCTCCCGGCCTACAGCCGGACCAAGCTTAGGCCGCGCTGTCAGGCCTCAGTCACACACAGTCATACCGCCCGCCTTTCACTAGGGCCTCTCACACTCCATCCTCTCTCACAGGGTCTCTTTCATGCCACGACAACTTATGCCACCTTACTCCCCCTCTTGGAGTTGGCCCCTTAGGCCATAGGCTTAGCTAGTCCATTCCTTGGGTGGCAGATGTACCTTCTGTTGGGCCTCTCCTGCGACCCTCACTGGGGTAGTGGCCAGCCAATTACCTGACTGGGTCTAAGCTTACTCTGGCCCCTTTTGGGGGCAACTCTATACATGTAAACATACTGGGTACTCAGCCCTCTGGTTCCTCTCTCAGCACTGGGGTCCTTCCTCTCTGCCCCCTTTCTAGGGCACACCTCACCAGGGCATTCTTACCCCACACCACAACTGGTGTTCCAGGGTATCATGGGGACTCTTGCTCCCCCTTGGAGCAGCAGGTCATAGTGCTCAACTCTAGCTATTACTTTCGACCCACATTCAGCCTCCCAGAGGTGAAGGACTTACTGGGGGGTCAGGACTCACCCCTCTCCCTTGGACTGAGCCCCCTTACTTGGCCTTGGCCCAAACTACCACCTCAGGCATCCGGAGACATACCTTAGGCCTACTCCCCAAACACAGGGCTCCAGATCACCCCCCCTTACTGGGGCTCCACATCAGGTGCCTGGCCCCGACTACCTTTCCTCAGGGTCGTAGGGCTCAGGTGGTCGCAGCCGTGCCTGGCCCCCAACTGCCTCCGGTGTTACACAAACCCACCTGAAGGTGACAGCTAGGTTTAAGGTGCCCCTACCCACCTTTCACCAGGGTGATCACTGGCCTGGCATTTCTTCGGGGCTCCCACGCCACTGAGAGCCCCACCAGGCCACCCACTCCCGGCAGGGTGCAGTTTTAGGTCATACCGAAGACCAGGAGCCTCCTAACCATCCCCTACAGCTCCTGCCCTTATCTCCAGGGTGTTCCAAGAAGCCTCGCAGCCAGGCGATGTTGCTGCCTCAGCTGCCAGCAGCTGAACTGCCCTGTTTATGTGGGTGGCCAGAGCTCTAAAATGGCTGCCACAATTAAGCACCTGCTGGCTGCTTGGCCCTTCTTAAAGTGGCAGGCACCAACAGTGCCCTGCCACACAACATCCCCCTTTAAATGGTACATGGGGGATGTTTCCCCTGCTGCTCCTCCAAGTGAGAGCCCTAAAGTGGTGAGCACCCCAAAGGTGCTCCGCCACACAGAGATACCCAATGGATCAAATGACATAGCATAGTGTGGAACTATGCAGATTACAGAATACATCAGAAATCTTAGAAGACAATGGGAGAAGAGGAACGCACAAGTGGGCTTCTTAGAGATCCTTTTGTTCTACAAGTGAGAGAAGGCAGATGTTGGCGGTGAATTGTTTGGGTGCATAACTGGTGCAAAACTGGAGGATTTCAAGAACACTGGATAACACGTCACTGGAAGAGAAGACTGTACATGTAGGACAGCCTGTCTCTTGCATGCAGTGGAGCTGATTGACCCTGATGGAGCAGCCAGGAGTATGTTAAATGACCAATGTAACAGGAGGACAGTAAGAAGGCATGTGCAGAACAAACTCAAGCAAATTGAGCCAATTTGGTAAAATGTGTGTAGAGAATTGTTTCAACTTGTTTATCTACCGAGGCTAGCACTGTGGGCAAGAAGGAACAACAGAAAGTCTTCACGGATGAGAAAAAATGTTATATAATTGTCTGAATTTGTTTAGAATATGAAAGAGAAGATTGAGAGGTGACCTGATTACAGCGCATAAGTACCTTCACAGGGAAAAAAATGGAAACTGAAGGGTTCTTTGATCTAGAAAGGAAAGGCACAACATGAGCCAATAGGTGGAAGCTGAAATTCAAATCAGAAATAAGGCACCAGATTTTAACAGTGAAGGTTAGTAAGCCCTGAAACGAGGCAAACAGTAGATTTTTCATCTCTTTATGTCTTCAATCAAGATGATGGCCTATCTGAAATATTTATACTTTGGCCAAACACAAATTAACTAGCCTCAATATAGGGGGTAACTAAATTAAACTGAAAGGTTTATGATGCACTTAAGTTGAGGCTGGAGGATCAGATTGTCCTTTTTAAGATCTTTCATTTTTTAATCAAGTACACTTTCAAAGTTAACTTGCAAATTTGGGGACTCTTATAAGAAACACCAAAAATTTTTTATCACTTTTCAAATATTGGTCTACATTTACATTTTTTTAAATATGGATTTACTGAGTCTTTTTTAATGAAATGGCTGTATATTGCAGAAAAGATATTTTGTTACTATTTATTTTTCCTTGCTAAATTTAAATGTGATATGCATTTGTGTTCCTGTATCACATACTACTAGGATTTCTCCATAAAGTCCTGCCTTTGCATTGAATACTAAACTGCAGCATTTCTGGTCCAGGAGGCAACAAATGAAGAAACAGAGATTTTTTCTGGTCTGGATTACTGCCATGACTGGATTTAGTCAAAATGATTAATTTCACGTGATCTCCAGAGATGTCTTTGCTGTGTCATTTGCTACCACTTGTGGACTACTGCATAAGAGCTGGATATCTTACATGGAGACATTTTTAGAAGCATCTCATTTCCAAGATGCTAAGACTTAATAGGAAAGCAAACCCATAAAATATGTTTTTACCTCTACGGCTTCCCAACCCCACTGCCGGTACTTTGGATCGTGAGTGAACCGCCACATATACATGTAGGTCTCTATAACTTCAGGTCGCAAAATGTAGTATTTCTCATTTTGCCTTGTCGCAATGGCCTCAACACCCCCATCAAATCTGAAAGCTTCAGGCCCCAGTTTCATACCTAGAACGCAAAAATTAAATGGTCAACAATGTTAGCATGAATACAGTTTTCAGCTATTCACTTTATTTTTTGAGGCTATTCAAAAAAACCCCAAACACATTACTTTTCAAGAACAAAACATCACAATTTATGGAAAGTACTAAATATTGGTCATACCTTTAACCACTGATGCCAATTTTTCAATGTCCTCCTCATAGCGTATAATGCAGATAGTGTTATATTTGGGAAATCCCTATTTCTAGTGATAAAGGGCTGCATTTCATCAATGCCCTAAAGTGCAGCTATATTCTGAAAAGTGATGGTAAAAGTAGTATTTTGCAAGTTTATTGTGTTGATCACTACATATGAGATCTGCTTATCTTATTATAGTATTCCCCACCCCAACCCACTTTGCAACTTGGCCCTGGGATCTGAAAGTTAAATTTGGTTCTGTCATCATTTTGCTTCAGCAGTCTAAAAGATCCTGCAAGACAAATCCATATTATTTGTGTGCAACTCTACTGTCTAGTGTTGCATGGAACTGAGAGTAGACTTTGTCCTGCTTTCAGAAGTTGGTTAACAATTCTGTTGATGCACAACAGTATAAAATCTTATTCATATTTGTGCTGGCCTCTCCAGAGTTCAGGGTAGTGAAAAGCAGTAAAATGTGCTGGTCACTAAAACAAGTAGATATGACTCAATAGGTGCAGGCAAAAGATCTGTGGATGAAGCCACAGCCAACTTTATGGTCAGTGTGTGGAACAAAAGAGCATGGTAGAACAGAGTTCAGCTTAATGGACATTCATTATATAAAACAGTGGATTGTACCTCAGCACCTGCTTTAACAAGGCCAGAATTGTTGATAAACAGTATTTGATATAATTTCTGAGCAGAGCTTACACATCAAACTTTAGAATACAATACCTACTTGTGCGGTCGTAAGACTCATGACAAGTGCGGGCAATCTCAGCACCAAGTTCAATATGATGGCCTGTTTTGTCGGCAGGAGCTCCATCTGCACCCAGTGCAAACATGCCTCCGGCAAAGCAAGTCAGATGTCCCATTTTGTGCTCGAGCAGGCCACCCTTCCACTCAGCAATATATGTCAGACCTCCGCTAGATTTCCGGATCAGATGGGTCTCTATGGCCTGAAAAAATACAAGTTTTTGAACCAAAACCTACTATTTCATAGGGTCCTGTGTAAAAGCAAAGGCAAAATGACACAAAAACATAGACAACTAACCAAAATTTTTACCCAGTCCAGCTTCTTTGCTTTTAGTTTTGTTTTCAGCATAGTGTTTCAGCTGAAGTTAGCATTAGCATTCTCAAATTACAAGGACTGAAAATGCAGCTCTTCTTTCCTAGAACAGGTTGGTAACCAACAATAATGCGACCATCATCTTTGCTGCATGTATCTGCATTATACCCAGTAAATTTATATAAAACATATAAACATAATGTTTCTATAAACATAATGTTATATAAATCATTGGAATAAGTGAAAAAGAATGAGAAAGGAATCCTGGAGGTCTTTAGAAAATTAATCAGTTCAAGTCTACAACTATATACTGAATTGGTCACCAATGCTTTATTTCAGTGGAATAATGAAATCCAGAAACACTACTGAAATACAAATGAAAAGAAAGAGAAGCTTAGTAGTCCACATACACAAAAAAAAGCGCGCCATAGTACGTGGACCTATTAAAGACCAAGATAAAAACTGAGCTGCACACAGGAAGTATTGAAAATAGGTTTTCCCCCCCTTTTAAATGACTACAAATGTTATTTTACCAACAGGAAAGAGCTACTGTATATTACTGCCTACACATTCTGACTATTAAAATTTTTCCCGTTTTGTCATCTTTTTCTCATCTCCAAACATGCGCTAAAGACTACTTTCTTTTCTCCAGCATCTTTTATTGGCTCAAAGTTCCTCAGCCTACTCTTTTTTTTTCCTTGCTCAGTCTGTTCCAAACTGCACCACCACTTTCTGACAATTACTGGGTATTGACTGCATTGAACACCTGGACTTGTCTTTTAACCTTCATATTTATAAAGGAAACAGGGCATTTAAAAAGAACTATTACTTGAAATTAAAAAAATAAAGCCAAAACACACCACATGATATGGGCTTCTGAAAAAAGGTCCAAAATAGTTATATAAAGCCTAAATAGCTTTCCTACAGATTAATGATGGTTGTGGTTAAAAATAAGGGACATGCTTTTGCCTAATGTGGATTCTGGCTCCCTCCTCCCCCAGGTCTATACCATCCGTGCGTTTCCCCTCTTTTTTAAACCCCCATTCCAAACGAGTGGGAAACCTGGATTTGTTTTGGTATTACTTGGTAACTATTCTAAACAAATGTTGTTAAAAGCCATTGTTTTCATTGGTTATTCCATGAGGATTTAAATATTTTTATATCAGTTACATAACTGATAAAACAGGCTTTAAAGTACTATGTAATGTATTTGATGCATAAATGTCTGAACTTTATTTAGACGGCAAAAATAATTGGATAAGAGAATCTTCTGAATCTTTCAAATGCCTTGTAATAAAATTGTGTTATAATAAAATGTGTTATTATTTAAAATGCCCAATAGTTTGTAGATAATTGTTCTCAGAGTACTAACAAATTATAAACACTCAGCTACCAACCACTTAGGGAAAAGGACCAGCCTCAAAAACTAAAACTTTTCAAAAGCTGAGAGCAGAGCAAACCTGTTTCTTGGTGGTATTCTCACCTAATTAAAAAGCATTATCCTGGTAATAAGTAGTATTTCTACTATAAATTATCTGCTTCTTGAATTTGGTATCTTTAATGTAAAACATTACATTAAACTACTGTATATCACAAAGTTTGCTGACTTAGACAAAATCTATGAAGAAAAGATTATGAAATTATTCTCATGCATGATAAAGACTGGCAATTGTCATGGAACCGTTAAGACTTAATCCAAAACTCACTGGAAAGATGCATTAATTTGAAGGGGTTTGAATCTGGCTTACAATCACTAGTATTATGGCTCATTTTATTTAATGCAGTTTCTATTACAAAATTTGGTTTTGAGACATACAGACGCACCTTTCACAAATCTCCTTTTTCTCTGATTTTTTTCCATTCTTTGTGCTGGACCAGAAGAATTTTTGCTAAGGAAATGTTAAGGTTAATCTAGCTAAAAACTTAGAATAGTTTAAAAAAATTAAACATAACAGGCGATCAACTAATCTCTTTGTATTATAGTACAAAAATGCTCTGGGTTCCTAAATATCAATCACCAGCAAGAATAACTAGATCGGCTTGACCTTAAAAGTTTTTTCTATATTAGTTTTTTCTAGTTAACCCTTTGAGGAAATTAGGGACATATCCCCAACACTGCCTGGATAGTCCTTGGACAATCATAGTCCTCAAGGTAAGAGAGGTGAGCCATCGATATACCTACAAGCAGGTAGTAATTGTGTGCTGTGCGCAACTAGGTATTTGTAAACACAAATTATGAACACAATTTTTCAGGATTAGTGACAAGAGCTTCAATACGCGGCCTTCAGAAATTGTTAGTAATGAGAGGATGTCTACAGAGTTTACAAGATACATAAGCTTAAAAAAAAAAAAGGTTGGGTTCCAGAAGCTAGCTCAAAACTGAAGATTCATGACATTTACAGTTTCTAGTTGACTGAGGCTGCATGAGGAACCCTGTGGAGGCTACAGCCTTCAATTGGTGCTTGAATGACAATGACCTTAATTAAATACATCATGCAAACTAAACAGGCAAAAGAGCAGCAAATATCAATGTGATGCTGTTTCATGCACCATCAAAACTGCCAAGGCCTTTTCCGGGTGAAGAGTAAGTTGGTCCTCATAGAAAGGCTGCTAAGCAAGCTGCTGCTAAAACTTTGCATACCTCTTCACAGATCCTTTTCTGCCAGTCAGACAATTCTGCTTTCTGAAACACCCTGCCCTCCCAGTACATTACCCACTCAACATCTTGAGGATAGTCTTTGCCACCCAGTAACTGGTCCCTCTTCACCAATAACTCCCTCCTCATCTCTACTGTTCTGACCCTGCCAAGGCAAAGATGACCCACTGGTTATGCTGCAGCAGGGGTGTCAAACATACAGCCCTCGGGCCAGATCTGGCCCACCAGTAGTCCAGTGGGTTACTGGAAATGCATGACCTCAACTTTGCTTTGCTGTATGCCCTTGGCACTACAGACTGGCCAGAGCTCTGCACCACCAGGCAGCAGTATAAAGCTGAGGGGATGAAGGGGGAAAAAGCTATTTTCAAGCAGTGTAGAGCCAAGGTTATGAAGTGGGATAAAGCTATTTTCAAGCAGTGTAGAGCCAAGGTGTGTGGTGATGCGGAGCTCTGGACAAGAGCAGCATGAAGCTGTGTTTAGTCAGCAGTGCAGAGCTGGGAGTCTGCTGCTCATAGTTCTGTCTATGTCTGTGCTCCTGCACACCCCTGGCTCCATCTCCCAACCAAAACTCTCCATTACTGCATCTCCCTGGCTCTTTGCTATGGCATGCCCCCAGCTCCGCACTGCCTAAATGTGGCTCCATGCAGTTGCATGCTCCTGGACCCATGCTGCTGCCCAGCCCCCAATCCATGCTGCCACCCTAGTATGGCCCTGTGGTCCAGATCTAGCCCAGGGTGAGCCTGACACACCTGCTCTAAGGCTTCACCATTTAAAAACGGTTATTATAAGAGAGGACACAGTATCAATGATATGAAATTTAGTGTAGCTACAATATCCCATAGCAAGTATCAGGATATAAAGAAACCCATAAGAAGGTCACAGATGATTAGCCATGTCAGTCTGAAGTCAGGCAAAAGGTAGGGTAGTGGGGCACCTAGACTAGCTGGTTTATAAAGGCATGAATTTTCATAGCTGACAACCTACTTAAATACCATACAAAGATGTGCACTTTTAAAGTCTCTACAGGCACAACTATCATATCAAAACATACTTTTTTACCCCTAGAGCTAGTTCTATAAATGTTAAGAGTCATCAGACCAGAAAGCATTGTTGCATGTATTAGATTTGTTGGTTAGGACAGGGTTAGATAATGAACGTATACATGGAAGGCAATATTTTTGAGTATGAGAGAGAAACAGAATGCAGTAAAGTGCCCTGCCTTTTTTTGTATAGGCAAGGCAAGGGACAGGAGAATAGGAAAAAGATGCTGTTCACTGTGGAACTGAAGAATGATTAGCATCTAGACGGTACCAGTTATGTGGAAGATGTTATTAATATTTTGCAAATTAGTTGTTCACATTTTGGACTGGAATATAGACAGTTAAATGTGTTATAGAGACTGAGTAGGACAGTAATGGAGATCTTTTTAGTTGGAAGTTTTTCAACATATTTAAAAAAAATAATACACATGGCATTTATTTCAACCTTAACTCCAAGAAATATTTTTATCTCAGAATTACACCACTAAATTTCACCACCCGTGGATCAGGTAGTTTCATATTTATCAATATTGAGAGATGTATTATTTTACTGCTCAAAAATGGAATACCCTCTTTATGAGGCAAAATGTCATATCAGTGAAAAAAGAGCATGAGGAAGTAAGTGTTTAATTAGCTGAAATATATTTTGATGGGTAACTGTTAAGAAATGGTAGAGATTTTTTCTGAAATAATTAGATTTTTTTAAGATCACAGAAACACATTTTAGAGAACAATAGCCATATTTTTCTAATGCGAAACTTGGAGGCAGAGCAATTTAAAACATTGCAAGGAAGAAGTGGCTGGAATGCATAATTCTAAAGGGAGTAAACTGCAGATGCTACCTGTGATCAGTATAAGAAAAAAAAGAGACAGCTGATGTAGGGCTGTGGCAGTAAGAAGAGGGATTAGAAGGAAAAGTGACCAAATCAGGATATACAGATTTTACCACACCAATTCAAATAAATATTATTAATGTGAATAAACCTAAGATGGCCATGAGTTAGAATGCACTTGCATAATCATATAGTTCAGTTAACTTTTATAGCTGATATTGTATTGTGGGTAATTTTTGTGTTTTTATTCAATACTAAAGGTACTTACTTTCTTCATCGCCTAACCTGTGACAATGCCCTTCAGCCAGTTATCCTTTATTCATTATGCATGAAATTATCCCTCCTCCTCAGCAGGCATAAT